TACACAGTAAAAGTACTTCATATTATTCATGCACGTAGTCTAGGAAGTACTTAGTTCAGCGGTGTATGAATCATGGACTACTTATGGAAAATAAGTGTTTTATTCTACGTCAAAGTTGGGCAAAATATCCTTCAACTTGTCCTCTGCAGTCTGACCCACAGTCACTACCAGCAGCTCTTCATAGCCGTTTCATTACGATTACCGTAAGTGTTAGTAGATTCGCGCACTAGAAAAAAATGTGCGGCTGATTTGACCAAGCAAAAGCGAACCACGGATGGCTTGCCCGCAGATCGCCTTGGGTGTAATTATTTCATTCAAACAACAGATACATGTGTGGTCCACAGAAATATGTATATAACTGAAACTAAAATGTCTGAACAAAAGTATATCATGGCTGTCCATGGCTGTTATAGTTAAATCAAATGACTCATATCTTCCACACTGCTGATGCTGCTGCTCATATTACATCTGATGCAATGTTCATTTAGTCTGCCTTAAAACAATAGTGAATCTAACAACGTGTGTTTACATTGTTTTAATCCAGGAACCAGATAAGCGTCAGCCATGGGTGTTGAGGGGGGCATGAAATGTATCAAGTTCCTGCTCTTCTTTTTCAACTTCCTTTTCTGGGTGAGTAGCAGCTAACCTCCTCTTTAAATATTTAAGATGAAAAGGTAGCAAAGTAGATGCAGATGGCTCTAAATATAATGATACTGCGAAGAGAAGGGAGCTCTTGGTGGCAAAAAGTGAAAGTGACAAGGGAGCAAACAGGAACTAATGTCATCTAGTGTGATTAGTGTTATCAAGATAAGTCAGCCTATCTTTTTGGCAGTCTGAAATATGGACTAGTTATGTGGCATTTCTCCTTTTTGCCAGCACCCGTGACTGTGAGCATGAACTTTGGTCTGCTTATCCCAACGCACAGTTATCATAACAGTAATATAATCATCTGTAAAATCAGCTGATGAGCAAACACACAACCTGTGACATCTCCTCTTGATTTATCCCTCCTGAACACCTGCTCACTGGCCCATGTGTTTGTTTAATACATGTTTGCTTAGCATGTATGAAAATACAGAGGAACACGAACAGAAGGACATTCTTCTCAGGTATCCTGGATTAACCTGAACGCTTCCTGGATGTCACCTGTTTGCAGTCTCCTTATTGTGTGTCAGAGAGCTTTGGAGCGAGAGGTGGTGTTGATGGAATGTGAATCTTATGACCAGATTTCAAAAAGTGTAACAGCATCATATGACAGTTTTATTTTTCCGTTCCCTCCTTTACTGACACAACGCCACTGACAGCTTAACACAGTGAACTCTGTGGCACCAAGTGAAACTCTGATAACCATCTCACACAGGACAGGAGGAAGTACAGAATGACAAGCCTGTATTTATTCGCTCTACTCCGCGCACATTTTTAGAGTTGCAGCTTTGCAACCAAGTTATTTTCACGGTTGTTTTTGACTGTTGTAATTTACTGAAAATCTTTAGACTGTTGGTTGGAGAAAACAAGACATTTTCCAACGTTTTATAGACTAATGTAGAGAATAACCAAAAAATTAATCTTATGGCTCGTGTCTAAACAGATAATGAGTAAGAATAGATTAAAAAACAGTTGTAATAATACAATATATGTCATTACAGGAGAACTTAAAATCGTTGACAAATGCTGTTCTTTAGTAAACTCATAAAAAGGTCCTTACAACTACATTATAGTGTACTAGAAAACATTTATGGCTTCCTTAAGTGAGGGGTCAAAGCAACATGTTGCCTTATTGATTTATTCTTATTTTTCAGTTATATTAGTCTGTAAAATGGTGGGGGGGAATGCCAGGGTGACGTCTTGACATGTCTTCTTTTGTCCAACAGTCCAGTTTATTACAGTAATACAAAAAAATAGCAGTATGTAGTAATTTAACACATGGTTTTTACTCACTGTACTCTACTTGTAAGCAGATATAAGAGTTTATTGATGTATTTGTCGAGCATCTGTAAGTGGAAGCAGGTATATAAACAGATAATGAATAATAATATATTAAAACCCTGTTGTTAATATGTAAACCAGAGGCCATTTTGCAATGGGATCACTCAAGCTGCAACACAGCAATCTGTGATTTAAAACAAATGTGGGCCAGGGCCGTAAGATGGGGGGGCACTGGTCCTTTTCCTGCTTCCTGTCCCACTACTTGTTTGAACTGCACCCAACTTCAAACTCAGCCTTCTTTGTGATCTTTACTACACATCTGTAAAGTTTTGTGACTGCATCTTGCACTGTTGCGACATTATCCTGCCGACAAAAATCAGTCCATCTTGAATTAGAGAGGGGGAATTTACCTTGGCACTTTACACCCCTGACCCACATATGTTTTAAGTAGCGGATTGCTGTATCATGGGTGGCGCGATCCCATCATAAGATGTCCTCTAGTCATTTTATTCTATTCCATTCTTCTTTTTTTCTGTTCTGTCTTTGTCGTCACTCTGTTTGCCTGTCCTCTTCACTCCTTTTTATTTTCCTACTTCAGCCATTAGCCTCTTATTTGACTCACGCTCAAATATTTACATTGGTGTTGCCACAAAGGAGAGGGCCTCGGCTGCAACAAGGGCTTAATATGGATAACACACAACCAACTGGGCTGACAGTCACCTCACATAAATAAGACTACTGACAGACTTCCAGTGTAAACACACAGTTTTTATCCCTCTGTTAATTTTACTCTAAATTTGTAGTAAGACCAGTTTGGCTGGGCGTTGTCAACCCTGGTGCTTTTGTTCATATGTTTACAACAACTCGGCGCCACTGCTTTTTGATGTTGATAAAAAGCTACTAAAGAGAACGGACTGAGAGTTAATACAGTTAATCATCCTGAGCTGAATTGATGTCTCTATCCTGTTCTACTTCCTGTCAGGATGTGTTTGTTTTTGCTTGGGGACATGTAAAGTGCGAGTGATAAAAAGGTCAATAAATTCAGTCAGTCTGGCTCATAAACAGCCATTAAAGCATTATTAGGGTTATAACCACATCTTTTGATTATTTGTTAACTAGCTGAAATAACTTATTTGTTAAAGAGGAACTACCCATTTTTAAAATGTATGCATGTTATTGTTATGTTATAAAAAAAAATATTAGTTAACACAAACAACTCTACCAAATTCCAAAACTCAAACATGTCTGGAGCTGCTCCCCAGACAACAGACAGTGAAATATGTTCTAGATGACACTTAGAGCACCCAGGGGAATTTTCTGAGTGTGTGGGGTTTTTTTCTGTTTCAGTACCTGGAACACTACAATAGAGTCGAGCTCATCTGGGTATAAAAATGAAAGCAACCATTGTGTGGGTCCAGGCTCCCATTCATTGTTTATGGAGCAGCTCCAGACTGTATAAAAGATAACATCAGAAGTTCGAGACTTATGTGTGTGGTTTCTGGCTTTGAGAGAGTTGCTCATGTTTACAATATTGATTGAACATTCCTAGGCCATTGAAATAAGATATTGGAATTCTTAATTTAGGTGTTGCTCTCCTTTAATACATTACTATATACACTGCCTGGCCAAAAAAAAAGTCACCACCAAAAAAAAAGGTCATACACTCTAATATTTTGTTGGACCGCCTTTAGCTTTGATTACGGCACGCATTCGCTGTGGCATTGTTTCAATAAGCATCTGCAATGTCACAAGATTTATTTCCATCCAGTGTTGCATTAATTTTTCACCAAGATCTTGCATTGATGTTGGTAGAGTCTGACCGCTGCGCAAAGCATTCTCCAGCACATCCCAAAGATTCTCAATGGGGTTAAGGTCTGGACTCTGTGGTGGCCAATCCATGTGTGAAAATGATGTCTCATGCTCCCTGAACCAGTCTTTCACAATTTGAGCCCGATGAATCCTGGCATTGTCATCTTGGAATATGCCCGTGCCATCAGGGAAGAAAAAATCCATTGATGGAATAACCTGGTCATTCAGTATATTCAGGTAGTCAGCTGACCTCATTCTTTGAGCACATACTGTTGCTGAACCTAGACCTGACCAACTGCAGCAACCCCAGATCATAACACTGCCCCCGCAGGCTTGTACAGTAGGCACTAGGCATGATGGGTGCATCACTTCATCTGCCTCTCTTCTTACCCTGATGCGCCCATCACTCTGGAACAGGGTAAATCTGGACTCATCAGACCACATGACCTTCTTCCATTGCTCCAGAGTCCAATCTTTATGCTCCCTAGCAAATTGAAGCCTTTTTTTCCGGTTAGCCTCACTGATTAGTGGTTTTCTTAGGGCTACACAGCTGTTCAGTCCCAATCCCTTGAGTTCCCTTCCCATTGTGCATGTGGAAATGCTCTTACTTTCACTATTAAACATAGCCCTGAGTTCTACTGTTGTTTTTCTTCGATTTGATCTCACCAAACGTTTAAGTGATCGCCGATCACGATCATTGAGGATTTTTTCTGGCCACATTTCTTCCTCGAAGACGATGGGTCCCCACTATCCTTCCAGTTTTTAATAATGCGTTGGACAGTTCTTAACCCAATTTTAGTAGTTTCTGCAATCTCCTTAGATGTTTTCTCTGCTTGATGCATGCCAATGATTTGACCCTTCTCAAGCAGACTAACATCTTTTCCACGACCACGGGATGTGTCTTTCGACATGGTTGTTTAGGAAATGAGAAGCAACTCATTGCACCAGTTGGGGTTAAATAACTTGTTGCCAGCTGAAAGATAATCGCCCATGCAGTAATTATCCAATAGGAGGCTCGTACCTATTTGCTTAGTTAAATCCAGGTGGCGACTTTTTTTTTGGCCAGGCAGTGTATAATCCAATATGATATACATTATTCTGATATGGGTCAAGTTCTTTTAGTTTTGGTACTTTAAATATATATTTATGCCAATACTTTTGTACTTTTACTTGAGTAAAATTTTGAATGCAGGACTTTTACTTGTCACAGAATATACTTAATGAAGCCTTTATGTATTATTATTATTATTATTATTATTATTATTATTTCAAAGCAAAAAAGTCAACAGCAACAAAAAAAATCCCCTCAAATGTGAATATTTGGTTCTTTTCTTAGTTTTCTTATATGATAGTAAAGTTAATATTTTGTGTTTCAAACTGATGGTAAGACAGTTGAATAAGTCAATTTAAGCTCCGTGAAACTGTGAAGAGTATTTTTCTCACAGTATTTGGACACTTATCCTCTAATCGATCAATCAAGAAAATAATAATGCAATCATTTCCTAACAATAATGAAAAGAAGCATCAGTTGACACTGATGTGTCTGTTTATCAGTATGTTCTGCTTATTGCAACATTATAGTGATGTCACAAACAATGAGACAAGTTCACAGTCAGAGTCATTTGATTTTCCATAATATGTTTTCTTGTGGTCAGTATTTTCCACTCCTCATGCTGTCTCCATGTATCACTTGACTAATGACCTCATCCAATCACCCACATTAATGTGTCATCATGTAGACTGCTGTTTAAGGACATGTTCATAACCTGTCAGCATTTATGTACAAATATGTACAAAATATGGCAGTAAAAAGCCCTTTGGCTTTTTTTACAGTTCCACATATTAAGGAGAGTTTTGAAAGCCTTGAGTTCGTTGTTTATTTTTTCTGCTACAGACTTGAAGGTCTGTTTAATGTCCAATAAAATAAAACAAATACACACAGAGGAGTCGCGGTAGAGTTGAGCGGTTGATAGGGCTGCAACTTTTTATTATTTTCCGAATCAATTAATCTGCCTGTTATTTTCTTGATTAATTGTTTGGTCATAAAACTATAAAAATACATATTTAATTGACTGATTGTTTCAGCTGTTGTGGTTAAATCCCTTCCTGTCCTCAAATTGATTCTACCACAGTTGTGTCTACCCTGAATGTACAGCCTGCAGTCAGAGTGAAGGATGTAAAGTTTACTGTGCTGTTTACTTTAGGGCGGGATTATCCCAGCTGATCACAGTCAAATAGTCCACCCTCACAGTGTTTGTAAAAGATCCAATTGAGTGCTCTGTCAACCCCACCCAAAGCAGTGACACATGAATATTACATTTTATCATCTGATCATTTCACATCATCTGCATAAGGGAACTCAAGACTGTTGCAACTTCCTTTCAACTGTTTACAATAAGTGCTTAATCATTTAGTTAAAGTGAGGTGTTCACAGAGAAGCAAAGAAAAGTTTGAACCTTACAAGCAAGTCGATATCTAACTGTTACCTGTGCTCATGATTAAATACATAATGTTCAAGTTTAAATACCCCTCATGAAATTTGAATATTTTGAGATCCATCCATCTACACTTAAGCAGGGTTCAACGACCTGTCGGGCAAGTTGGTCAGAGATCTACTTGCCCGAAGTCAGTTTTTACTTGCCCTATAAAAATTGTTTAATTTAAGCGGCTATCGAATAACAAAGACTGCAGTTATTTTCATGTTATGTAATCTTTATTCACACTGTATTTATTAAATAAAACAACATATGTTATGTATTGTACCTTAATTCCTACACAAAAATGACAGTGTCAGGGCTTAAAGTGAAAAATTTGTCAATCGTTCTCCGTCTATAATTCTGCACCCTACTTGAGCGATGCCCACCTCTATTTATTTTTCACCCCTCTCTCCAGTTCTGCTGTATTAACACCGGGTTTAATATATTTTGCTTCCATCTCTCTGCCCTGCTCTACTCTACTTCAACGCTACTTAGCGCTCTCTCTACTCTACCAGTAGACTACCACATCCACCTGTTGCACAAAACGCACACAGCAGTGTTTCCCCTAGGATGGAGTTGTAGCAGCGGAGGTGAAGCACATGCATGAAAAATAATTTTCACATGCATGAAACTTTTTTGTATGCTTGCAAAGCACAGCCTGCTGGGATGTTTCTATGTATCTACTGGCACCAGAAGGGTTCTTTAGGACTAAGTACATACAGTACATGTGTGCACAGTAATGAGCAGGTGAAATGTCTGTCTATCTTACATATGAGGTGTCTCAAGATTTAGGAACATACAATTTTATTGAATATAATAAAGTAAAAAGTCACTTGACATGCTGTTTTGTGCTATGACCTATTTAAGTGTTGGAAGTTGTTATTTACGTGACAACGCCTGAATGCAACACAAGCTCAGCATGAGTGCCGTGCTGAGCTGCTGTGCGAGCAGCGTGTTTGTCTGTGCGTAACAGCAGTCTGTTGATGGTTATTTACACACTGTCCATTTCAATAGCTTTGTCAGCTGACAAACTGCACCGGACTCAGGGTCAGGTTTGGTCAGGAAAATGCGGCCCGAGCCACTCTAGCATGATCACCTGTGTGTGTGGTGGAACTCCGCCGTGCGCGATACAGAGAGCAGAGGAGAATTGTTAACGCGTGACCATGTAGAGACAGAAATGACACGATGGCATAACACCATAAATAGTATATTGTTATGTTATTATATGAAGCGTCCGTCACGCAAAATAATATCAATGGGGGCTGTGGGCAGGACATTGTTACATAGCGTGTGCCTGTCACCTCAGGCAGAGAGACCGCTGCATCAGAGCCAAAGAGCACATTTTAAAATACATTTATTTTATCAAGTAGTTATTAACTTTTACTATTTTTAGCAACTTGCCAAGTCGGGCAAGTGAGTTGTTAGTTTACATTCCCGACCGTGAGTTTTACTTGCCCCAGGCAATCGGGCAGTCCTTATTGTTGAGCCCTGCTTATATGTTTTTATTTCTCGCCTTTAACATTTCCAGTTGACAACTTGGCTCTAGGCGGCACGATGGTGTGGTGCTTAGCACTCTCGCCTCACAGCAAGAGGGTTGCCGGTTCGATCCTGGGCGTGGGAGCCCTTCTGTGTGGAGTTTGCATGTTCTCCCTGTGTCAGCGTGGGTTCTCTCCGGGCACTCCGGCTTCCTCCCACAGTCCAAAGACATGCAGATTGGGGACTAGGTTAATTGGTGACTCTAAATTGTCCGTAGGTGTGAATGTGAGCGTGAATGGTTGTCTGTCTCTATTTGTCAGCCCTGCAATAGTCTGGCGACCTGTCCAGGGTGTACCCTGCCTCTCGCCCAATGTAGCTGGGATAGGCTCCAGCCCCCCCCCCGCGACCCTCAAGAGGATGAAGCTGTTAGAAGATGAATGAATGAATGAACTTGGCTCTATGGATGGCAAGGGTGGTCTGTGAGTCAGTCCACCATTTTGGTCTAGACTTAATCGGACCACCAGATGGATTATCATGAATTTACAGACATTCATGGTCCCCAGAAGATGTATCCTACTGACTTTGTTGATCCCCCACCCAATACTGTTAACCTGCAAAAGTAATGGCATTCCCATGGGCTGGGATCAACTTGCTCTTTAGTGCTACTTATCAAATGTTAGCATGCTAACTCATAAAACATGGTAAACATTATATACATAACACATCAGCACGTTAGCATTGTCACTGTGAATATGTGTGCATGTCCTGGGGGTTAGAATAAAGCTTAGTACAGCCTCACAGAGCCACCAGCATGGCTGTAGACTCAAAAAGGACTTAAGTTAAACAGAAATTTGATTGGTCAGTTTTGGATTTTAAAAGTGAAATCAATTTAATTCAGACACTGACATTATTAAAAAAAAATGTCCTTATCACCTGCTGGGGGGAGGGTGGATCGGTTTTGGCAGACCATTATTTAGGCTTTTTTGGAAAATACTGAGGCATTTGGTCTCAGAGATTCTGAGCCTTAAATCTAATTTTTCACTTACCTTTTTTGGGAGAAATGGGATTGTTATAATCATCCATTCTTGATAGAACTTTTTACTTTACTTCCTGAGCCCTTTATGCGCATTATGAACTTTACCTCTGCTTCCTTTTCTCTCTCTTCACTGACAGTGCTTTACTGTTCCACCTCTTTCCTTTTCTATGTTCATACAAAAACTAAAAAATAAAAGTATCAAAAAATCCTTTTGGATAAAAAAAACAACTAACCTAGACATGAAAAAAAAAACAGTTTTTTAAAATGGCTAGACCATGTATATGAATACAGATCACTGTATATCATATTTAAATGTAATGAATAACATTTAAAACTTTATGGTAAATATTTAATAGTGGTTCAATTTCAATATTAGGCATTTAGTTCCTTATAAAACTCAATTGTTTCAGCCTCTCTTCTGTTTTGTAACCAGATAATCTGAAGGCTCAAACTAAAGACACATGCTTGCATTACATAAAAATGAGCAGATATAATCCCAAAAATTCCACCTTAAACTAGAGTTCTTCTAGTACTGATAGCAGTATCAAAAATGCCTCTGATACCACCTTAAAATGCTGGATGCAGGTATCAGTGATTACTCTAGTTTGAGCACTGATCTGATGTCATAGAATTTACTAATAAACTAACAAGTAGCTTCACGTGTGGAAAAAAATAGTATTTGAACATCTCTACCTTAAACTAACCCTCCTCTCCTCTCCTTCCTGCAGTTATGTGGCCTAGCACTGATTGTCGTGGGAATCCTAGTGCAAATGGGTCTGCACAACACCATCAAGATCCGTGATGTGTCAGCCTCAGGAGCCCCCATTGTTCTCATCGCAGTTGGCGTGGTGATTTTCTTCATCGCTTTCTTTGGCTGCTGTGGCGCCTGGAAGGAGAACTACTGTATGGTCACGACGGTAATTTGCATAGTGTGGTATCTATTAACAACAAAAAGGTTGAGTTAACTAAGCCATTCCAAAAATTAAGTTCATGTAAGGCACTTACATATCTTTTTGTTTCCCTCAGTTCGCCATCCTCCTCTTTCTGGTCATTCTTGTTGAGATTGCAGCAGCAATCGCTGGATACGTCTTCAGGAACAAAGTGAGTGTACACTTTCACTGTTTCCTTTGTTAAAGTCTATGAGACCCTGCAGGAGGTTTTGTTTAACGTCTTCGTTGTGTCTCCCATCTAGCTCTCAGCTGTGGTTGAGGACAGTCTCACTGACATGATCAACAGTTACAAGAACGGCACGGCTGAATTCAAAAAGAGTGTGGACAAAATGCAGGAGGATGTGAGTTCAGTGTAAATTCTCCTACTCACTGTTTACTCAGCCTGACAACACCTTCACATAACACTGCTACATCCTGCTGGTCTGTGCTGCATGACATGACATGATGTTTTTCTTTGCCCCGACTGTTGACACAAGTTAGATCCTTTTACTGTACTTTGCTGGCATGTCCATTTCAAATGTTTTTCATTTGACTCACTTCCAGCTGAAATGCTGTGGTGGGAACAGTTCCTCTGACTGGAGGAACTTCAGCCCTGATGGAAAGACTGTGCCTGACTCGTGCTGCATCAAAGTCACTCCAAAGTGTGGAGTCGGGGCCATGACAGACGCCGCCAAAGTGCACCAGAAGGTAAACTGTGACTGTAGAAGGAAATGTTTGCATCAGCACGAATTTATCACAGCCCTGATTCGGCTGTAGGAACAACAGGAACAGAAACACTGGGTTACATACATACATACATTTACTGTCCACTATTAATCAAAGGCATATACGGCTCCAAGAATTATAAATAAATAAAACAAATTACTGAGCACAGCTGATATTTTAGGGCTTAAAAAATCTGTATGTTTTTTTTTTTTTTTTTACATATTTAAAGATTTGTGCAGGACATTTTAGAGATGAAAAACGAGTCACTCCTGTAATGGAAAAACTATCAGTGACAAACAATTTGATTGCAACATTGGTCCTCATGCAGAAACATTTTTTTAATTTTCTATTAAGAGAAAAAATAAGAGAAGTCAACTCAAGATGCACCAATCTGCTCTTACCCAGGTATGCTCAATGATGAATCCCACCTGATCTTAAGTAACCTATTAGCATAGGTAACGCCCCCTTAACACTATACAACAAAACGTAGCAAAACTTTTATTGAAATGGAAACTGTGAAATGAACATTGAAATGAACACTCTGCTGTGTGAGAATAGCACAGTGCCTTTTAAAATGGTGGGGTTTAATTCAGTTCCTTTCAAATGGGGTTTATTGGCATGGGAAACATACATATACATTTACAAAGCAAGTGTGAAGTAAAAACAAAAATTAGTAAGATCTCATAGAATTTGGCTTATATACACATATGCCATGTGCAAAGACTCTAGCACGTGCCCAAGCATTGTGGAGATGCCACCATAAAAAGGCTACAAAAATACTAGGGATGTGTTCCTATATTGCTTTCTGCGCGAATACCACTGTTTCTAACTTCCCTGAAATTTATCTTTGGCATTTTGGGTTCTTTTTAGTTATCAACAGACATTTAATGAGTATATCTGCGCTCATCGATACATCAGCCGGGTTATTGGTCAGGCTCGAGTGTGAAGAGAAAGAGGTTATGCATTGAAAAATAAGCCCCAATAAACCCATTGTCAACAACACGTTCAGCACCAAACAGTTGGCAAAGATGAGGACCTGTTGCTGGAAAAGGTCAAGCATCAGAGCTGCAGAACTAATAGTTGAGACCAAACAGGAGCTAGACAGAAAGTAAACATTAGACAGAAACAAGACTCCAGTAGGATTATAATGGTGCTCTCTGTGCCAAATAGGCACACACACACACACACATACACTTTTGGTGTGTAATGAGTCTCTACACAGGTGCATGTAAATCAGACATCTCTGTGGTATAATGGTCTCAAACTGTATTGTATGACGTAGGCCATATAACTAAGAAAAGATCAAATATTTCCCTGTGTGATGTGGTAACTGTGCTTTATGATCATTTATGTATTTTGTCACCTGCATTAAATGTGCTCACCCACTTTGTGGTACAGTGAAGGGTTAACCACTTCAGTACGTCTCTACGCACTGGGTTTTAATAAGGTTTACAAGCAGTTAAAGAAAGATTTGAAGGGGAACAGATGGTTGATTTTGCAGTAATGCATATTTTACACATACAGCATTGGGGTGTGGGGTTTTAAACAACAAGGAAGTAACACCAGAGTTAACAAACCTCAACCGTTAATAAGAAGTCAAGGTTATACCCCGAGGCAACGGGTTTCTCAGATAACAACTCAACCAGTGAAATCTCCATATTGGATCTAACAACTTATTTTGCTATTGTTTGTGTTGTTGTTGCAGGGATGTCACGATGCTTTTGAGGCTTTACTGAAGAAAAACATCCTGTGGGTGATAGTCGCAGCTCTTATCATTGCATTCCTGCAGGTACGTAACATCAACAAAATAGACATTACTATAACCAGACATGACTCGGTGCAGAATTCCTAAGCAGTTCATTTTTACTACTAAAGTTTACCTGCAAGGATGATTTTTATTTAAATGTGTTTTTGTATTCATTTTGTCATTTAAAGATACAGTTGGTAACTTTTATAAAATAACTATTTGTCATATTTGCTTTAACAGTCATTACATCCACTCAGTAGTACGAGGCAGAGAATATGTAAAACATAAATCATGTCCCTTTGCCTCCTGTTAAGGGGCTTTTATATCGCTGCACGGAATCTCACCACCTTCAGTCATTTTAAAGAGGGGGAAGGCAGCAGATGGGAAGTGGTTTGGAACAAGGTGGTCAGGGTATGAAGCAGTTCACCCCCCACATGCACACGTACCGATTTCACTCTGTCATGCTGAGTTCACAGTGTTTAGCTGATCAAATAGAATCAGAAAAAGACAAGATGGAGGAGTTGATAATGTCGGTGTCTTTCAAACAAACAGTAATGGATTCCGTGAGCAAAGGCCTCAAAGCAGCCATCAGTCACGTCCATCACTGCTCGTGAACTGCGGTTAGACTTTCACACTTGGCAGCGCCAATCGAATATATAAACTCAGATTCTGTTACTGCCTATTTTCTCATCTTTCTCAAATGTTTTCATAACCATATTTTACCGTGCTGTTCAGTGGTAAGATGAGAAAGTTGTTTCAGCCGTAGGGGGATACATCGTTTTAGCTCGACTGTTTTCAACATGGCGGCTGGGTCACAAACTTATCTTATTTTTCAGCTGAACAGTACACTAAAACAAAACATGAAAATATTTGAGGCAAGAAATAGGCAAGGCAGAAACAGAAACCTGATTCATATTTGATTGACATGATTGACAGCTGCGTTAGAGACTCTTGCAGCCACAGTGGACTCCAGCAAATGCCTGAGAAGCACTACAAGGAGGGAAATTATTTTTTTATACAGACTATCTGTCTCATGTACTTCTGTGTGGATGTAATGACAATTTCAGCAAGTTGTTTTCATAAAAGTTACCAACTGTAGCTTTAACTCATTTCTTTATAAATTTAATTAGTTGGAATACATTTTTGTTTTTATATCTGGTGTTTTTATGTTGCTTGTACAAGTGCTACCACAGGTCTTTAAGTGTCTTATAAATATCTGACATCAGCGTCCTCTCCTTCTTGTATGTGATTGTTTTCCTTTCAGATTCTGGGCATCGTGTTCGCCTGCTTGTTGATGAGAGGCATCCGCAGCGGCTACGAAGTCATGTGATCCAGCTGCACACCTGAGTAGTTCAGTTCGCCCTTGTTATGAGCTTGGTTTGGAAACTTTTAATAAATTCATCTTATACTTCAGATTTAATGCACAGAACAATGTATTTTCACTTGTATTGATTTTGGATATTTTCGCAGGTTAATATCTCTGCTTCGTCACTGTATGTGCATAGGCCGTTATAGAAATGATTCCTGTCCACTTTATCTTCAGCATATGTTCTTGCTGGTTTTGAGGGATTCTAACATCTTTTACTTTACTCGTGTTTAAGAGACGTAAGATCTGTTTTTATGTTTTGCTGGTTCCCAGCTTCTGTTTTTATTAAAGACTCTTTAAATTACATCTGAATTTGCTTTACGTGTAAATGAAAACAGGGAAAAAAGATGTTCCATTGAAGGTATTTATTTCAGACACAGTTCCAGTACAATGTGTATAATATTGGCACAATATTCAAAACCTGCCGAGCAAATATCATATATTAAAAAAGAAAATCCTGAAAAGAAAATAACTTTTACGAGTATTTCTGGAGTGTTGCGCCTGTCCTTGCGAAAGGCACAGGAAGCAAATGACAGTTCCTGTTGTACATTTTTCAACACCAAACACCAGCACAGCTTCCTCTTTGTTCTGCTCGAGTGACATTCAGTGCTGCAGTTGGTGGTCTGAAGCCTCCAAAGCCAGAAAACATCAAGTAAACAATAAATTAAAGTGCCATCATGACTCTTTTCAGACAGCCTGCAAATGCTGTGCTGCACATCAGAAAGGATATTAATCTACAAGAAGTAGTTCAATTTCTCACATCACAAACATAATGAATGTCTTTGCAGTAGCAAACAATATAAGCAGGCTTTAATTAACATTTTTTTTCTTTCAGGGGACCCTTTGTGTAACCAAAGTATTTCCTTCCCTCAAGACTGTTGCCACGAAATTCCAATTTGACCAGTGATATTGTAAAAAAAAAAAAAAAATAAAAAAACATAGAGCACAAAGCGAGGTAAATGTATGAGAAGCTACAAAACGATGTGCTTGATGTGAACATGTGTAAACCTTTCACACGCCCACGTACAAGTGACCATATCTGTGTTTTTATGTGGAATGAATCCGAACACCTTTACCATTACACAAGTGAATAATTAACAGAACAAATGTGGCTGACCTTTTACAAAATAATGTCCTCTTTGTTTCCCTGCACATTTTTGAGGCTGTGTAATGATGTGCTAACAGAGAAGTAAACAAATGAGAATCTTGAGCTTAACAGTGGTAGCAAGCCTGAAACACAGCGACAGGTAATCGTGTTACCTCAACATCACTGCATCATATAGTTCATTCAGTGCATCAAAATCAATTTAAGTCCCTCGTGACAGTCTGAATTACATAAGAACTCCAATAAGGAAGATTTTCAGGTGAAAGTACACTTGTCGTATTGTGCTAATTCATGAAGTATGATTCCATACCACATACCACTCCTCTGATAAAGACACGATAGATTCATCCTATTTTCAAAAAACTAAATCCTATTATCTGGGTATGTACTTTGCAGTTCTGCTTTGACTGTTGAGCTAAGACATTTTTTTCCTTCTTAAATCTCATAATCTTGCCAAGAACACTTCAAATCTCTTTTCCCCCTCTGCAAAAAGGAGATGTTGACAACTTTTAGGAAGTTGTGCTGCCAAGTGCATGTAAGAGAACATAATCGCAAAATCAGCTTGCTTCAGGCTTCCTGTCAGTGTCGGCTGGCACTGTTGGGGTAGTTGGCAGAGAGAAAGACCATGCTATGCAAAAGCAGTGACACCTCTGAGTCTGCAGAAAATTAAACAAGAGAGACATTAAAACAGAGTTTAATTTTAGACTAGAAAAGACATGTTTAAAGTTAGGATTAAAGGAACAGCTGAAAACACTTTCACATAAAAAGAGAAGGCGCATTACTCATCTGTGAATGAGACTGTAAGCAGAAGTGTCTTAAATAGTAAGGTTTAGGGAAAACGCACGTGTTTGGGAAGTACTGAGCATATGACTGGAAAAAATGAAACTTGGATTATACAGCATGAGTTGTGTGAGAGTTTGTGAACAGATGTTTTGATTTAGTTCTGCTGTTAAACGTGGAGCTCCTTTACTCCAATTAATCAGGAATTTTCTCAGTTTCTGGATTCTTTGTTCACTAGAGGCAACAAAGTCTTTACAAATTCAAAAAAACAGGATGAGAACTTTATATATAAATAATATTTGGGGGGTGAAGTACTATTTTAAGTCAGCATTGGATGGGTTTGAAGACTACAGCTGCATTGTGGGTAATGCAGGCACCAGGTACTGACAAGGAAAAAAGAATGCATGGAATTAATAAGACGATCTCTCTGGTTCCGCAGCATCGATTCAGACCCTCTTTTTTTTCAAACCGTGAGTCTGACAACTTGGTAGGAGTACAAAGCTAAATTGGTGGCATACTCCTTTGCAATATAGAGCTAAAGCTAGCATAAAGACTGGAAATAGGAGAAAACAGCTACACAAAAATCCTCTTAAAACAGCAAATTGTATTTGAAACTCTTAGATTTTTGTACAGATTAAACAAACGAGACATGATGTGGTAATTAGTAAGTTTTATAACCTTTTATCCGCTTAAATATGTGCATATATGCAGGATTTAAACACAGGAAGACGCGCTAAAAATACGCAATAGAGTCCTTTCCCACTACCAGCAGACCAAGGGTCTCATTTATAAACATAGCGTACGCACAAATCAAGGCCTGAAAGAGGTGTACGCCATTTCCCAAGCAAAATTTGTGATTTATAAAAACAGACTTGATGGGAAAAACTTTGACCCATGCTTGCGAACATATTGGAGAGGGAAATTGGTGATGCAGATGGTGAGGTGGAAGCCTTATTGTAGAAATTGTCAAATATATTTTTGGCCTCTGACCATTTTTGGCTTTCGTTCGTACGTACATTTTTAGTATGGATCCTATGCATTATTTTATAAATAAGACCCCAAAACCTTTTACACGACTCTGCAGGAGATGAATATGCCTTCCTGTTACTTTTTCTTGGTGTGTCACCTTTGACATTCAGACACACCGGAAAACAGCCTTAATAAACAACAGAAAGTAGCATGGAGGCTAGTGAAAATGTTACAGTGGTTACTTCTTTTTTAATATCTGTTACTTATTCAGTCTCTCTTTTAAACTCAGTGCAGACTGATTTTTAACTATGTTTGAGCTCTGCTTGGACGGAGACGGATGGTATTTTATTTAAGTCGTTGCATCAGGTCAGAAAATGGGCAAAAATGAATGCACCTAGCCAGATATAGTATTTTCATCGCTGCCTAATGGAGCATGAGCCGATTATTAACCATGACACTGCAAAGTCATTTGTCCCAGGAATGAATACCGATTATTTCCTTTCCAATTAAATTTAAAAAAAAAAAAGAAAAAACATATTCGTGGGTGTTAGTGTTTTTTTTGTCCAGTGACAAAGGGGCCTTAGAGGTGCAGGCAGGCTGACTTTATTACTGTTAGGTAGAACCAGGCCAGCTGTTTTCCTGTTTCTTTGTGCTAAGAAAAGCTGCTGGCTGTAACTTTATATTTACAGTACGCACATGACAATGTTAACTTCTCATCTTACTCTTGACAGACAGTAAATCATTTTGAATTATTCCTTCTTTATTGAAACAGAAATGTCAACAGGATTAGGTTGAGATTGCAAAATACCACACATCCAAATGTTAATACCTTTGAGTGCGGAGGACACCTGAAGCCACTGGGACAACCACTCACGGCACTGGTTGATGCCCAGACTGTGAGAATAGAGCCCCCTGATGTAACAAGCCTGAAAAGAGAAAAGAATGATGTAAGTGTTCATGCTGTAAATTATTTTTGGCCGGTGAGCATGAAGTGTCACTGACCTGTCTGAGCTCTGGCTCACTCAGCTGGTGAGGGCCCAGCCTGCTGAGGGCCCGGTCCAGCTGGAGCAGCTCCAGGGCGTGGCTGTTCAGCCGCCGGCCAACCAGGAAACCCGGAAGGCGCGGCGTCAGAAAGAGCAGCGGGCTGATGTTTCTCTGATTGGCCGTGAAGACAGAGGAGAGATATTCTAGTGGTGTTCAGGTTCACCAAGAATTTTGTGTCTCATGTAAAATGAATGAGTGAGTGGACAACTGACCATCTGATTCACACTCATCCTCTTTATACCCAGAGGAGGTCCAGAGAACAGATTGCGAACAGCAAGGATTTCAGACACTTTGGGGTTTGATCCACTTTGTACCTGAAAATGCACAAAAACTCAGTTTATCCCTCTTTCATGCAATAATGGATTTAGTTTTAATCTGCTGTTGTACTTATATGTGCAATCATGGAGAAATATGTGTGTTTCAGAGTTAGTATTGTTCACTTTAAATGAGGGACAAAATCTGATTACCTAACAAAGGATATTTGGCCATTTAGTCTTTAATAATTTGAGATATATTGTGTATTTTTGTGAGATATAATTCAAAATCTTTCTAGTTAACAATATTATTAAACTGCACTTGGATCAATCAGTCAGTTCAGATATGTCGACCATGTTACAGTGGTGAAAAGTAACTAAGTACACTTACTCAAAGACTTTACTCAAATTCAATTTAAAATTATTGGCTCTTTAATTGTGCATTTCTACTACACTTCATTTCAAAAACAAATATTGTACAGTACTACACTGTACTACACTACAGTTTACAGGCAGTTATAGCTATTAATTACTTTTCAGATAAAGATTTAACATTAAAAAATGATGATGAGTTTATAAAACATAATTCATGTCTGGTTCTGGTCCCCTGTCACATTTCAAATCTATGAGTTGTTTTCATTCACAACTAAGAGAAATTTCTCTTCTAAACTTCACAGGCAGTTTGAAAAGCTGTTTAAGGGCCAAAGGAAAAAATATAGAATAGAAAAGAATGGAAAGCCTTTATTTTCACTGAACAAGTACAACAAAATTAGGAGTGCTACTCCTGGTCAGTTCAATTAATGCAAGTAATAAGACAAACCAAAGACAGACAACAACCACTCATTCAACAAATATGAAACTACTTCTTACTTTTCTATCTACCTTTGCTCTTTCCTACCTTTCTATCCATCTAGCCCTTTGCCTCCCACTCTGACCCCCAGACGGCACTATTTCACCCACTTGTAGTCTCGAGTATGTGCATCAGGAATTGTAACATCTAGTCCTAAACTGAACTGAATAAAAAGGATGGATTTTGCACTTACAACCTGTGTACTGCTCTTAAAAATATAGTACATTGCATTTAAATGTTGAGAGTTAAAGGTTGCTCAGCAGATGATGGTGTGTGTGTGTTGTTGGAGTTAAATGTTCAATATAACACA